CTCCCTCCTCCTCCTCCTCCTCTCCCTCCCTCCTCCTCTCCCTCCTTTCCTCCTCCTACTCATCCTTCACTCTTTCTCTAACTTTTTCTTTTTTTAACTTTCAAAAATCTATAAAAAAATATTTGTTATAAAAAAAATTTATTAAAAACGATCATGATTCAAATAGATACAAAATTACGCAAACGTTATTTCAATATCTCACTTAGACAATATTTATTGGCTCAATAAAGAAATATTTCTTTTCTTATCTAACACGTTAAACATCATAAAGCCATGGAAATCTTTACTTTATTTCACTTTAATTTTATATTTTTACTGATCATTTTAGCACATTACATATTTAACGTAAATTATCATATCGAAAAGATTTCTCGTAATGATAATAAATGCTACAATTACAAGATCTAACAGATCAATAAATCGATGTGATCACTGATATTAAAAATTCACAATTCACAATATTGTCGTTTAACGTGTTAATCCACTGAGAAAATATTTCCACTTCAACTTTAAAAACTTTAAAAACAAAAAAACATTTCATGTATTAGAAACCAATGAAACAATTCTATAATCACTTCTCAAATAACTTAATCCATTAATCCATAAAGAGAAATACGAAAATGTATTGAAAAAATTAAATTGAACGAGAAATATAACCAAAATTCGAGCCATTCGAAATAGCTTAAAAAAACGAGGAAAATTCCTTAAAAAACTAAACAGCCAGTGGAGAAAGATTGGAGGGGACTGGTCGGCATTGATCATCCATAAACTTTTTAGGAATTACTATCAGATAGCAGCGATGAACGATCGGAATACTGGAATATATCGACTAGAAATGGCCGCAAATGCAGAGGCAGGCGAAGTCGAGCTTGTCCCGGATTTTTTAAAGCTTGTAGTGCCTTTTTGGCTTGTGCCTCTGTATTAGCAACCGCTAGTTTAATTTGGCTGTTCATCGACGTTCGTCAGCAACTCACTGCTCTACGGACCGAACTGGACCAAGGTATATTGCACTTTTAGGAAACGTTGATGGAAGAGACCCTTCTAAAAATGCATTTCACTTCAATCCTCGGACGGTTGACTGATAGAGAGCGACTGCGAGCTGCCGACTTTCATTTTTTTAACTCGTGCTAGTTTCTCCGTCAAAATAGAATAATATTTGAAAAAGAGAAAATAATTTTGAAATAGCGTAGAGGAAAAATAATTTTGAAAAAAATAATAAAATAAAACCGATGGAAGAGTCGACCGCCCGAGTATTACTTCGAAATTTAAATCTAATTTTAGATGCGTGTTAAGTATGGGATATTTTTAATATATATATATAGAATATTTATAATATACAGGGTGTCCTATTAATCATAGCTCGAAAAAGAATAATTTTATTTAAGAGAATGAATCGAAAATACATACTTGGAACATAACTTCTTTATTTGAAGTTTTGTTTTCAAGTTTAAAAATTTCTCGAATATATGTGAATTTAATTAATTTATGAATAATTTTACATGTAAAAATAAATTGAAATAACATTTTTTGTTTGGTTTTTTTGTTTTCGTAGAAATCAAATTAATATAAAATTATTCGATTTAATTTAAATACTCGATATTTTGGAGAATTAGATATATGCGTATTTACATTTTCAAATTTGATTTTCTAAAAAAAAAAAAAAAAAAAAAAGATGAGTCTGAAGAAAAAAATTATATCTTATTTTTTATTTATTTTTTCATTTTTGATTATTTTTCATTATTTTATAAAATAATCTTCTGCCAATTATTAATTCGTATTCTATCGAATACGAATTACTTTACAATTTTTTAAATTTAAAATTTTTTCAGATTTCATATAGAAGAATGATATTCTAAATATTTATTTTCGATTTCTTCACATTGTAACAGATTAGACATCCTATATATCTTATACGCGACAAATATTATCAATAATATTATATAAATTTATTATGTGAAATATAGACTAGAAATTGACCTCAATTTGTATTGATGGATTGTAGATAACCGGCGAATTAGAAGAATTAAATTATTTTATGTGGAATCTTTCATTTTTATTTTCATTTTGTATTTTATGTAATGAAAAAATGTATAGAATTCTATTTGTATGAAATATGTCGTATAAAAAAATGTAATATTATTATATTTAAATTAAAATCCTACAAAATTAAATAAAACCAATTCGAAATATTAGATAACCTATGATACCAACGATACCAACTGAGGATTACAATTAATTGCTTAAAAATTGAATAATTTAATTCAAACTTTTTTGAGTTACCTATGATTCAATAATATTTAATTAATATTTAATATCTTAGAATTTAAAAGAAGAGAAAACAAACTTTTAGAGAAACAAGAAATAATTCTCTTGGATGGAAAGAGATGAATTGAATCAAATTCTTTCCATTTAAGATTAATAATGAAATATAATAATGTTTTTCGATTTTTTTAAATATCTCTTTTTTTTGTTTTTCTCATGTTTTATTTATACATGTTTCATAAATTAATTCATTCGTAATCGAGTTCCAGAATAAAAACGCGCTTTGTAATTTCCTTCTTCTTCTTCTTCTTCTTTTTCTTCTTCTTCCTCCTCTTCTTCTTTTATGTTTCTTTTTATCATTTTTTTTTTTTTTTAGCTGATTACCTTAATTTGTTACTCGTACGTGCTTATAAGATCAGCTTGATAGCACGACGATAAGTAATCTCATAATACGTGATCATGCTGTACTAATACATTTAGTAACGGAGTAAGATTATCACTTCGATATATTGACAAATATTGGATTACTTGATGTTATTTATTGGATAGAAATCGTTTAATATTTGTATACGTTCTCTAAAGTTTTTGAGGATAATTTCAATGTAATTGAGAAAATTGATTATTGAGTATGATATTATATGATACTATTTTTCAGTTAAATGAATTATTATAATTCTTGGAATATTGATATATTCCAAATTAATATTAAGTCAAAAAAGTACCAGTTATAACTTAATATTAAATGTTGTAGTTAGAGTTAATATTAATATTAAGCCATTGAAATATGTATGAAAATTTAATAGAATTTAATAGAAAATTAAATTGTGCTTGAGTTTTATCATTAATTTATGCTTTATGTACAAATCAATAATATCTCAAATATTGGATAAAATTGATAATTATTTTAATCCTCAAAAACTTAATCAATTTTAAAACATTTTCCAGTTCGATTTTATCGTTATCAATATCTGTTTATGATGAAATATTCGATTACTTCAATTATGAAATTATTACGTATGCTTATGTATGTTTTATTCGTGAACAAAAGAAGAAAAGAAATATCATTTACATTGCAGTTATTGCTGGTAGCGAAGGTGTTCCTGACGCTCTGCAAAAATGTCATTCTCTGTCGAGAGATCTTCAAAACAATCAGACTACTATTTTCATGCATTTATCAGATCTCAAACTTCAAATTAATAATTTTACGACGCAGGTAAATTTATGGTTTTTAATAGAATTATCCATTGTGTCAATTCATAAATCTATGAATCAACAATTTCATTAATTATCTTTAATTTAAATAAAATTAAAATGAATATTATGTTTTTTATTATATTACTTTCAAGTATTATAATATATCAAATATTATATTCTATTGGAATTAAAAAAAAAAAAAATTCATTAATGATTTTTTTTAGTTTTTCATTAATATAATTAAATATTTTCATTCTTAATTTTTCTTTAGATTATTAATTAAGATAATATTTATATTGATAACTTACACAAAAATTTATGAATTGACTCAAGATTCATTTAAAACTATTATTATGTGTTATATATGTGTTATATATGTTAAAGAATTCTATTTTTTAAAATTTGATCTATAGTTAGCAGTCATTCAACACGATTTGCATCGAGTAGAAGAATGGTTTAAAGCTGATCCAACATTAATCAACGTGCCAACAGATTTAAAAGCTCTTTCTAGTAGTGTGATGTCTTTTGGAAGCCAAATAGAAGATCTGCGTGCCACAGTAAAAACTCTTAAAGAATCTAATGCTAGGGTACAAGATGTTCAAACCACTATGCAACAAAATATTACCAGTATCAAGGTTTATAAGCAAATTATTCATCAAATAATATTATAATATATCAAGAGAATTCTAAATATTATTTCTTTTCTTTTTCTGTATTGTAGAATACGATTACAGATTTGTCAAATATTACACAAAAACCTCAGATACTGACCACAAATGAGACAAAAATAAAGACTGATCAGTTGAACGCGGCAATCGTACATTTATCTGATAATTTGATGAATATAAATGAAACGCTGTCGAGATCGGTACAATGGGTGGCGGAGGATCAGAAGAAAGACCATGTAAATATTTGAAAATAAATAATAAGTGAAAGTTATACATTCTTTGATGGAATAATTTGATATGTTTTGCAGGAAACGTTGGTATTACTTCAGGAGACTACACAGAATGTTAGCATGAAAGTGATATCCTTGGAGAGAGAGTGCGTGAAGACTACTATATTAACTACTGTTATGAAATTGAACGATGAAGTATGTATATGTTCCATATAAATAGAAAAAAAATTGTTTAATATTTCTAAAGGTTATATTTATTAATAATTCTTACGAAAGATAATGAAAGATTATCTTCAAACAGGAAATCAAATAATATAATTCTCAAATAATATTTATTTGAGAAGGTTATTACTTAAAAATAATTTAAATATTTTTTATAAATTTTTTTGTGTGATTACTTTTCAAAATATTTTTAGAATTCTTTACAAATTTTAATAGAAATTATTTTTTTTCAAAGATTATAAGTTTTTCAAATTATTATAAGTTCTATTAAAAATTAATTTTTAATTAATTATAAATTTTATAGGTAAATGGAATTCTCACAACTAATATTGATCTTAGAGAAAAAGTGAAACAATTGGAACAATCTTACGATAGTTTAAAAAATTCCACAAACTTAATGCTGGCTGCTATACCGGATATCCAAAATCAAAGATTAGATATTAAAACAAAAGCTTTCGAAGAATCAATCGGCAACGATGCGACTACGGAAAAAGATCATCGTTTAGGTAAGTCGATTCGTTGAACCATATTCGTTCGTTCATTTTAAATTTAAAGATCTATTGTACAGACGAAATAACAAATATTTGACTTTTTTATTAAATATGTATATGAGAATATTTTTTATGTATTTACATATTTATTGGATATTTGCGAATAAACAAATTGCTTTTATTTTAGTTTTATTTTTATAGTAAAATGATATATATAAGAATGAATTTATTTTTTAATTATTTTTTAATTATATTTTTTTATATTGTATTATATTAATTTTAATTTTGTAAATATTTCACAAAATTTTCACTTTAATAATTATATATTAATAATTATTATTTCAATAACTATTTATAGAGATATTTTAAATTTTTTAATAAAATTTTAATATTGTATGAAAATATAGTAAAATTTTCAAATTTTTAAATTATTAATGATAAATTATTTTTAAATTAATAAAAAAAAATAAAAATTTCAAATAATTAAAATTTCAAAAATTCAAAAAAATTTAATTGATAAAATCTATTCATCTTATCTTTCTTTATAGATATAATTGAATATTAATAAACAAATGTCAAATTTTTTTCTTATTTTACAGTTCTAGATGAGACGTCTATAAGAAAGACTTCATCAGATAAATCGAAACGTTCAAGAATGAACCCATAATATATTTCTAGAAAAATTTACAATGCAAGAATGTATGGACGAGCTTTTACTTTGTAAAATAGCAAAAAAAAAAAAAATGTACTTTGTTTTCCGGGGAAGAGCGCAAGGAGATATTATGCGTGTGTATCTTGTAAATATTAAATATATTAAGTATGTTGAGAAATTCCCTGTGTATACACTGATGTTTTACATAAGTATCGCCTCAATTTTTCAATCATTTGCATTTATTTAAGAAAAAGTTTTTTTTTCTTAAATAATTACAAATATTTGAAAAAATGTGACAACAATTGCAAGGGATATTTGGTATAAAGAGGTAAATTTATGACCTGAATCAAGTGATCTTTTTTTTTGTCCCTATTTGTGCACAGAATAGTTTACAAGAATTTTTAAGTGAATTATTCTATTATCAAAAAAATTGAAAAATATTAAAAATTGAACATGATTTAGATGATTTAGTTATTCATAAATAAGCAATAAGATATATGTTGAACCGTCTAATATCATCAAGATTTAAAAATAGATTAAAATTATATTATGATAAATGCCAATTTTTAGAGAATGCCACGGCCTGTATACGGCTATCTGAATTTATTCAGATATACCATCGAAAAAGTACAAAGAGTGTTTACACTTGTTCTTGCATTACAAAATACAAATGAACAAATAAAAAAGAAAAAAATTTAGGAAGCGTTTATTCGCACTATTATGTCCACTAACGTAATCGCAATAAATTTTTCTACTCTTCTACTACTTATAGTGAAACATAGTCTATCAATTTTGCCAAATGTTAGGAAAATTCAACGATTGCAAAAATTCTATATATTAGCGATCAGTTTTTTCATTATTCATAGATTATTCATTTTTTTAGTGTAATATAATGTACAGTGTTCAAATATAAAAGTGTGATGGAAATTTGTCCATGTTGCACTAAAAATTTCATTAGTTAAGCAAGATACATTTTGTAGAATTTTATATTAAAATTAACAGAAAGTATTACAAAATAGCAATGTTATACTTTCATATTTGTTTATTTGTTATACAGAGTAACCATTTTTATCATTTTGAATTTTATCTATAAAAGGAAGTTGTAAAAGATGTTAAAATATTTTTCAAATAAATAGGTAGATATATTAAGAACATTTCAAGGTTATTTAGAGCTTTTTTAAATGCTATACAATATATTTTTTGTGTAAAAATATAATAATATTAATTGTAAAAAAAGATATATAGATGAACATGACTTTAAAATGACCTTGATAATTTCATCTTTTAATCTACATTGTTTTAACGTCTATACTTATTTCCTTTGAACGTATTTCTTAATATACGTTCATTTGTGTGTAGAAATCTAATGGTTTACTCTGTAAATCGACACAAATATATTGTAATTCGTAAACGATTCATAATTAGAATTATTATATTTTAAACACGCAATAATCTAATTTTCCTTATCTAAAAGTCAATATATGTTAATTTTCGACTTTTCTTCGTTTGAATGTTATATAATCATTCTCGCATAGTCATCGAGTGGACTGTAGCGATTGCGAATATAATTGTATATTTAAACGAATGTTTATCCATTCTAGTGAGGAATGAGAAATAATGTATTCATAAACAAAAAAAAGTTCATGTAGTTTCGATTCATGTGAAAAGGTTGTATGAAATCAATATGAATTTATAAAGAGAAAGACAAAACGCGTATAAACGACAATACGTCGATGTGTGAATAAAGAATTGATTATTCAGATTCAGTTATGATACTATTCTTTATTCTATTTCCTATCGTTTATTAAATATTATTATTTTATGGTTGTCTTTTCATCTCATTACATAATTTAAAATTAAATAATAAATAAATTCAAAACTTACACAAAGATAATTAACTATTCTTCGAATTTTGTCTTTGTAATGTCTTGAACTTAATTTAAACGAAATAAATTTTTTATAAATATTATTATAAGCGTATTATAACATAATAATGATAAATTATTATATATCTCGTATAATTTTTTGTAAATAAATATTTATAACAAAAATATTTAATTGCACTTTGAATTTACATTTTCAAAATATTGTATATAACTAATTTTATTTAAAAATAATGTATGTGTGATTTCAATTTTTAAATTAAGATTGAAGAATTTAAATTTAGATTGACTTAGATATTTTTAAAGGTTATATAATGATATAGATATATAATGATAAGAAATAAAATAATAAATAATAATTTTGTTTAATTTTATAAAATTTAATCATTTAAATTGTAAAATAAATATTTGTCAAATTATAATATTTTTTGTTAAGATTTCTATCATATATTTTGAATATTTATACTACATATTCATTATCACTTATATACATTATTAAGAAGAAATTAAGTGAAGATTGATAAAAATACCTTTCGATATTTACGATTTTCTAATTTTCAAATATTCGAAACGTCAATCATAAAGCCGTATCAACAGTATGCAGTAATTAATCCGAATGAAATCAAATTATTTCTTTATAAGAAGATCAAATGATAAGGTTTGAAAAATCGTATCGAAACAACAATCGCAAAAATGCTAAATGGTAACAAATTCTAGGAACGGTTTATTCAAACAGTTAATTTTAGCGGGTTCCATTTTAAAAACAAAGCTATTTCTTTCTATTTTTGTAAAACTAATTAGTAAAATAATTGAATATCATGAAAATTTTTACATGTTTTGGCTTTTAACCTTGAACGAGACATCGACCGATTCGATAACATTACGAACAAGTATCGGATCGGTGTTGTCCCTATCTAGGAGACTATTACGTGGTCTGCGTTTGACATCTGCGCATTTCTCACGTTCGTTCGGAGGAAAAATCAAAACAATCAATATGGCGGACCCGAACAACGAAGCTGCATCGTCGAGTAGCGTTTCGGAGCAGGCCCCTACGGCCACTCCAATTCGCGACGATCTTGAAAAAATAGAGGACTTTCTTGAACCAGATAAAAAGCGTCGTAAAGTGTCACGGAACGATGGAAAAACCGAGCAAAAATTGGAACACCGCTTGGGCGGCATCCTTTGCTGCGCAGTTTGTCTCGATTTACCCAAGGCGGCCGTTTATCAGGTAAGTTTCTTATATCTTTCTTTCAATATTTTCTAAGTTGTTTATAAATTTCGTTGGTATGAATTTACAAATGTACGTTTTATCGATCGATATTCTGTGACTTTAACATGCCTTGACGATCGTTCTTCTAACGACGTCGTTTCTTTCCATCCGACATTTTCACCCGAGGCTGATGGGTGACTTCGTCGTTTGCTGCGATATATATATCATACGTACGTATGAATATAACTAAACGAAATGAATACCTATTCTTTATTAATCTTTGATCGCACATTATGCACTGTGACAATTTGTTGATATTTCACCTGAAATAGTCTTTTGTTGTTTTTGATTGTATTTCTCAGCAGTAGTATATATAAAACTCATTCAAGTATATACATACATATACATATATAAAAAGTATTTACGTCGATCGTAGTGGAATATAGTTTATGTTATTTGATGATCTATTATAAGATATTTTATTATTTAATTTTTATACAATCTAAATTAAAAAAATAAAATAATTTTAAATAAAAAGAACACAAAAATGAAAATATATTTTGATAGAAAAATATGTTTAGAAAAAAGAATAGAAAATTTTTAAATTATTATTATTATATAGCTTATCATTCACTTGTTTTTGTAATATATACTTTTTTTATTGATTTCATTCATGTTGCAGTTAAGTTGATTTATAATCAATTATCAACAGCCTTTAATACTACTTTGTTTCTGTGTTAAATTCTTTCTCTCTCACTCTGCCCATTTTTCTTACCTTTTCTCTTAATGATTATAATATTTTTAAATAGTTTGTCCTTACAATAAGATTTTATTTTTTTAATATTACAGGAAAATAATTATTAATAATTATACAGATAATTTTATTTTAAATTTTAATTTTATAAATATTTAAAACAAGTTTAAGTTATTTTTATTATTATTAAAAATTGAAAAATCAACATTGTTTTTTTAAGATAGTAATAATATAATTACAGGTAGGTAATTATATATTTTTCTTAATAGGAGTGATATTCAACATTTGAAAAAACAGATGTATGAAGAACAGTCTTTAATTTTGCTATAAATATTACAATATAAAATTATATTATATTTTATTATTAAATATATTTATGAAGTTGAAATAACTAAATTATGATGAAAAAACATCTTCATATACAACATGCTTTTACAAAATAATTTTTTGCAATGGATTTTTAAAATATTTAGTATTATAGCAAACATAGTGCCTAAGTGTTTTTTCTTACATAATTTGTATTGTAAAAGTGACATTACATATGATAAACATTTATGCATGCATGTAAAATAATTCTTACTATTTATGGCGAATTTTTAACTCATGCGACAAACATACAGTTATATCAAAAAGAATTATTGTATGTATGCATGCCTTATCAATGATCCCATTTTTTAGTAATGTTTATTTACAGAATCTCCTCTGTTATTAAATTTATAGCATTTCATTCTATCTGTACTCTATTTATATTTTGTTCTTAGTTTTCTTTTAATTCTATTGATGGAAATATATATATGTAATATATTCTACATTCACTATTTTCATTAACTGTAAAACAATGGGAAGAATGTTGCGTTTATCCTATCAAAAAAATGCATACATGTAAGTTATTTAGTGCGCTATTCAGCGCATAAATGTACTTTTTATTTTTACTAAGATATACAAGTTTGAACGTTGTATTCATGCATTTGTGAACTCGGAAATATTACACAATACATTTGATTTTTATATATAATACACAAGAAATTTGAGATTTAACTTCATTTTTCTTGATATTTCTATAAAATCAATTAAGAAAATAAAGATAACAAAGAAAGAAAAATTATTTAAGTTACCAAATCTTTATAGTTTTATAGCATATATTATACAATATTTTTTCCAATTATAAAGTATTATGTTTATTGTAAGAAGTAATCGAAATGAAGGTACTACCCAAATATTAGTTAATAGGAAAAAATTTTATTGTAGATCCATGCGGAACTGATGTTTATCAATTATGATTAATAGTGAGAGAGTGAGAGTGAGAGAGAGAAAGCGCATTTCCAGAAAATCTGTATAACATGTATAGTTAAAAAACATTGAACAAAATAAACATTCTTAAAGGTTATTAGTTAGTTATTTCGCATATGACACCCTTTTTCACTTATCCTACGCATCATTATCCTTTTCTCTTCCTTTCTATTATCAATATTGGCAGCATTAAATGACAATTGCTTTTAGCAATATTCATATTGTTTTAAACCTACTGGTCTCACAATATGATTACTTATTATTAATAGTGCTATTACAATTTTGTGTTTCAGGTTTAAAAACATCAAATTATGGTAATATACACGATATTAGTTTTGTTATTCTAGTTTGCTTAATGTTTTTATAAGGGTTGTACATATATATATATATATATATATATATATATATATTAAAAATACAATCTCACAGTTTGTGCAAAATAAAAAATTAAATAATTTATATAAAAAAAATTAGTTCTTTTTATATTTAATATCAGAATATTTATATCAGAATAGTAAATTAAATTTTGCACATAGCTGTACATAAACTATGTAATAGATACAACAGGCAAATAAAATTATTAACAAAGTTAGGATTATCTTCACAAAAGTACAAAATTAAGAATACTAGTAATACATACTGCAACAATGTTCACAGTGTACAAATGGACACTTGATGTGTGCCGGTTGCTTCACTCATGTCCTCGCAGATGCCAGGCTAAGAGATGAAATGGCAACATGTCCCAACTGCAGAATCGAGATCAGCAGAACATCTCCATCTCGAAATTTGGCAGTTGAAAAAGCAGTATCTGAATTACCAGCAGAATGTCAATATTGTGCAAAGGAATTCCCAAGGAATTCCTTAGAACGTCATGAAGAGACCATGTGTGAAGAAAGGTAATTAAGATCAATAAACAGAATTAAAAAAATAAAGTTATATTAATTTTCTTTTATGTATACGTATAGAATATCAAGTTGCAAATATAGTAGAATCGGTTGTCCATGGCGTGGACCTAATCACGAACGTCCAGAACACGAGGCACATTGTGTACATCCGCATCGTTCAGGCCTGGATGTCATGGAAGCTCTACGTGATATCGATGCTCGTACTCTTGAAGAACGTAGGCTGTATGACAATGTCTTTGATCTTTTGTCCTACGAGAAAATCACATTTAACGGTCTGTATCTGTTTCTCGTGTATTAAGGCTCTCAAATTCTTATTATAATATCTTGTTTAGATGAAAATATTATAAAAAATATTTTATTTTGTCTTTTGCTTTAGCAGCAACAGGAACAATGCTTATCAAAATTATCCAAATTAAAATATTATTTATTTAAATGTTTTTATACGTCAGATACCTAAAAAATTAAATAAATTTCTTTTTATTCGATTTTGTTTCTTTCATCATTTTAATAGAGGTATAGAAAATAAAGGATATGAGTTATCTGTAGAATTTCATATTTTATAGATTTACAAATGAAGCCATATCGCACGGACGAGTTTGTTCATAAATTATTTTATGAAACTTCTCGTTTTACGGCGTTTAACAATCAATGGGTTGTAAAAGCTAGGATCAATAATAGTCAGCGTGATCCTACACAAAGTTCAGAAAGAGACATGACTTATCAA